GGGGGGGGGGGGCAGTAAGATCAATCGCCAACGAAGGTGTGGGGGGGGGTAGGGCGACAGCTTCCCGGCAGTAGGATGGAGCTCAGCATCTGGTGGTGACTCCAAGTCTGTGAAGTATGCTGATACTGCAGTAGATGGGCTCGAGGTTCCAGTATGTCTGACCCGTCCAGGGTTTTCGTGTCAGAGCGCGACAACTAGTGTTCTCATTGTTCCCGGTGCCCTTGGGAGTAGCTGCTCCGGGCCCGCGTCTCCCCCCCCTCCGACCCGTTTTTGATCTACCTTTGGCAAAGTAGGAAGGAACGATTGGCCATCGTGATCGATCCTCTGGGAACAGGGAACAATGCTCCGTCCTCTGTAGGACGCGTGGTCAATGGTAAACGCTAAGGCATGCGAAAACATGAGCACCCTCTCCGCTGCTCCCCCCCTCAACATGATCTTCGTGGGATTCATTCACGGGTCCCCCCTTTGGACGTTTCCGCGTCACCCCCGATTGCCGCAGGCCCCGATCTCGTCGACGTGACGGTGTTCACTTCATGCGGGCGTCTTGCACACGAAAAACATGGCCGGTGCAGGGACGGCGGTGGGGGCAAGGTGGCCTCGCGTCCAGTTCAATCGCTCGACAGAGCCATATAGCTCAGCAAGCTACCAACAGGGAACAAGAGGTCGGCGGAATGCGCCAAGATGCGCTTTCTCACTATTTCGGAATCTCTTTTGCATATCGCGCTCGATCGTTTGCGCAGTGACGTTGTCCCGCATTACCTCTGATGTGGTACGCGTTAGGGTTTGTGGTCGTCGATGTTGGTAAGACGAGGGGCGTCTTATTTATTTGGCCGGTGTCGGCGCCCCATTTATGTATTCGTTGTTTTCTTGGTCGGGCAGGAAGTGAAAAAGTCCGACGATGTCAGCTGGCAAATGGGTGTAGGGAGGGAAACGAGCGAACAGGGAGTGGGTCGCAGTGCATCGTTGGGAAAAATATTGGTGGTTGGCATGTCATTGAGATCACCGCAGGTTTGGGCTAGAGATATTTGTAGATACATCCAGGCGGCGGCCGCCGCCCTGTGCTCCGCCAGCTGCTGAGCCTCGGGGGGCGGGTATGTCGTGTGCATTGTTCGTGCTCTACGTCGTCCGCGTCGCGATTTTGTTTTTGGTGTTTGTGTTGGCTTGTTGAGAATTCGTGTTGTCGTCTGTGGGCTCTTGTTGCTCCTCGTCGTCGAAACTCGCACGCACGCATCGGCGAGGGCGATATCGCACAAACTTGACGGCGCAGCGAGGAAAGAGGGGCGAGAACAATCGATGGCGGGTGTGTAGCCACCGCTTAGTTGTTTGTTCATATTGTTGTTTCATGGGTGGGAGGCGTCGTGCAGTCGACGGATATATACCACAGCAGTAACACGCGGGACTCGTCAAAAGCCCGCAGAGTAGCGTTGAGCTTTTTCGTTTCGTGTTGCACACGTTGTGGTACATACATCGGATGTGCTCATTTTTTATCTGCGGCGGAGTCACGTTGATTCTTGCAGGAAATAAGCAGGGTGTCTGTAAAGAGGTATCGCTGGGGGTAACATTCATATGTTCTTTTTTTCGCTTTTTTCAAAACGCTCTTGTTGGGAGAATCAACACACAATACACGGCAAGTTCGAGAAATGTTTGCAACAGCCCAGCTGCGTTGCAGGACATGCGGCATCGCACGCCCCCGGGCGATGTCGACCAAGAAACGCTTCTCTACAACGAAAATCTGGCGCCAGAGTTGTACGCTTGGTCCTTCGACGAGCCCCCCATGCCACTGCTTGAAGCGAGGATGTGCATGATATGAATGGTTCCGATCAGAAGAGGACTCTTTACAGTTTGCTCTTGTATGCGACGCTTTTTCCTCCTCTCATGGGACTCGAAGCATGGGTGTGGTTCCACACTTACAACGGTTTTTGTCCTTGGCATCGCCTGGGACACAGTGACAGATGCTCGTTCGTGGTATGCATTCGGCGGTCGGGCCCAAGACAGCACAGATAAGAGAAGCAACAAACAGCAACTCCCCAACGCTTGTACTACACATAAAAGACCGTTTCAGTACAGCATGCGTCGGCGAAGGAGAGCGCGGTCGCCAACGCCACGTGAAGCACGCAGAGAGGCCTGTCTTTTCTGAGGGAACCCATTCACCAGCGTGAAACTGTTGGCGCGCGCGAGCAGCCACAAGGGCCGCAGAAACCATCTCCAGACCCATCATGCGATCGTGAAACCCACCCGGTGCTCGCAGCAATTGCGGACCTCATCGTTTCGTTCACTCGTAACGCGTTCATTCGAGAACCAAAAGGAAGTACAACTTTCATCATGATAGATGAGCGTTTTTCTTGAGCGTGTTCGAGACACCGTGAACCCGTGTATGCCGCCTGGACCACCGTAAGAGAAATCTTTCATGAACGTCACCCCCCTTCTCTTCGAGCGATATTTCCCCGAAACACCAGCGGAGGCCCCCCCAAACCCCCCAACACACGTGCAGATACCAGGCCGGCCAGGCACGCTGGACGTAACCTGAACACGCTGGCCCGCGGCCCCGAAGTGGCACCCACCACATGCGGTTTTCTATTTTACAGCCAATACCCGGAGGATTTGGTCCTAGTACCCGTCCGCGCGCTCCGCTCTTACAACAACCTCCCCAAGCGCTACATACACATATGATGTGGGATTACTCCCCACCTTTCCCCATGCGTGGTCCCAAAGCTTCAAGTGCTTCCGTATGAGGTAGCCGTGGACAGGGGGGCGAACAAGACACCTAGCAATACCCAGCACGCACGTGACCACGCAGACTGGAACAAGTAGGGCAGCGAGAAGAACGCGAGTCATCGTAGGTTCGGTCGCCGCATTCCCGTGCTCAGCATCGCGCAGGCATGACAGCATCATAGCATCATGACTTCGTGGCAATTACTAGCGACGATGACACCCGTTACATAGATGCTACTCGAGGGCCTGGTTGCAGCAGCAGCGGCAGCAGCAGCAGCGGCAGCGGTCAAGACCCGCGCGGGGTTCCCATTCGAGAGCATCGGCTCTACACTGATACTCCACGCTCCCACTTCAGGAAAGCACCGCCGGACAGTCTCGCCTCGGACGGACAGGTCCTTCGACGACGGGGCGACTAGTTTCCAAAACGGTTGCGCCCAACGGCCCTCGACATCTCGACGCATCATGATGCTTGGGGTTGGCAATCTCACAAGGCCAACCCCCCGATGCCAAAACGTGACCACACTCGGCACGCTTCCCACCAAGGCCGGTCGTTCCGTTATTCAATTCGCGGGATTCCAAGCGAGCCAGACTGCTGCTCAGGGAACCACCACGGCTATTGCCGAGGAGGTTAACTAAACATGACGGGAACGATCGTTGAGCCCATAGCCGATGAAATGTCTGCCAGGACAACGCGTTGCGCCCGCCCCCCCAAACGGTACCAGAAGAAAGCGAAAAAATCATGCGCAGCTGATTCTACGCAGAGCAAGACACAATCACGCCCGGGGGCGAGCCAAAGCCTCCAACCAACCCTTGGAACAGCGTAATGCAGGTCGGGTGTGATGCCACGGTCTGTGAATACGACAAACTACGTCGCCGTGGCCATGAGCATGACCTGGAAACGGCCGGGTCGATGGCGGCGGCGACAGCGAGGCCTTGCTTGGCGTGACGTCATACTGCACTGGTGTCGGCGGTCCCGTCCGGGGGCATACCCTGCGCTCGAGTGGGAATCGAATCAAGAGGTCAAAGGAGACACGGCGGCATCGACACAGGGGGGGGGGGGGTG